ATGGGTTTTTTGTCAAAGCACTTCAGATATTCATTGCTATCGGGATGTTAAGAGCATTCCATGGAATATAACAAAAAGTGTATTTCGAGCCGGTTTCTCAAACTTACCTACCCCACCTTTAACTGTGATGTATTCAGTTCAGTATTTACCCTCTTTACTATATTAGGGTTTAATGTAGCTTAGTTTAGGGCGTGTTGTTTTAAGCCCGGCATCGAGCACAATATAAGTAATGTGACAGATAGTCTTATTATTATTGTTCCTAAAAACAAGGGTACATATATTTTCCAAATTGAAAACATTTTTGGATCTCCTCCTCCACTGCACATTTCTATAGAGTTTTAAACTGTTTGTCTAAAATGATTAGCAGATTAAGCTAGCCTTAAGCTAACATCAATGAAGGTTTTCCAACCTCGCAGAAGGATCCTGAAAATCCTGTGGGACAGTTGCAGGTGATGGTCCTCCCGTCCTTCTCCACACACTGTCCTCCATGCAGACAAGGGGCACTGTCACACGGACTCTTACGATTTTGGCAATATTTCCCCAAGAAACCAGGTGGACACAAGCATCTGGACCCTGATACCTGGTCCTATGAGGGAGAGTATAGAGTATTTGTTAAATATTTCTATAAAAAATAATCCTTTTCAAAGATTATTTAAAAAAAGAGGGGAAAGGGCAGAAGGAGAAAAACCTTTTAAATAACTATGTTTCACTAGCAATGTGAGCATTTTATTGGAAAGAATGACAGAAAGAAAGGTGACACAACAGTGAATATGAAATGAAGAGAGGAAGACAGTGAAGCAGGTCAGTGCTGTGACTGATGTGCACAGAGACAACAGGCAAATCAGACAGATAGAGAAAGGCAGCGCGAGCAGGACTCTCACCTCACAGCGACCGCCGTTCAAACACAAGCCCTGACAGCTGCTGTTCCCTAGAAAGCAGAGAAACCAGAAACACTATATTAACATGTCACACAGAGACAGAATATGTCTTTTAGAGGCAAACTGTTAACAACAATATATATGTGTCATTGAGCGAAAAATCAATGATAACCTAGTGCATTACTGCCAGGATGTGAGATTAATTATACAGCAATACAGAAAAGATTCAGGAGATAATGGTAAAAAACAAATCTTCACCCACTCCTGGTTAGTGTTACATTTTAAGTGTATTGCAGCGATACCCTGTGACAGATGATTAATATGACTCAGTTCGGAGTAAAATGATCTACAGCCCGCAGGGTGTCTGGGCCGCAGGGGAACTGTTTTTCTAACACAATCCACTGAGGCTTTTCATCTTTCTCTCACCGCAACAGGACTAACACTTCTCCCTTCTTTTATTCTTTTCCTTGCCCTTTTAAACTCACTGATGTCACAGTTAGGACCCGTCCATCCAGGAAGGCAGTCACACAGGTATCCACCTATCAGGTTTCGACAAGAGCGGGCGTGAACGCATATACTCATTTCACACTCGTTGGTGTCTAAAGGGAGAAAAAAAAACACAGATTTGATGCACAACGATTCATCTTATTGATTTAAACCAGTGATAAAATGAGCGCTCGCTGCACCATTTCCTGTTTCATTTTACACGGTCATGGAACATTTTAATGCAAATAGTCTTCCTCATTTAACACAACAGGCCAGCAGTGGCAGTAGGTGTTATTCTTTTGTGGAGAATGTTTTTTTACCCAGCATCTGTGGAATTGTTTGGGTGTGTGTGACCTCCCGGTCTTAGTCATGCTTTCCATTGGTATTCTGCTAATAAGCATTTTAACCTTTGCAAGTGTTATGTTTTCATTTGTTTTGTTTTTTGTTGCATGATTGACACATTTTAAGGTCCAATTGTCATGACACTGTAGCAGGGAGAAGAGGAGGTCAACCATACAATGAACTCAGAGTCCTTCTAGTGATTAATATTTCTTTACAGATTTGGAATTTTGTTTAGCTGATGGAACAAAGGACATCAATCTACACTAATACCACAAAGTAGAACAATTCAAGATTATTTATAGTTTGCTGTTGGGATTTAATACACAGGAAATTAAATAACATGACACATAACATGCCAAAATGTACCTAATTTAATAATAAACTGAAATATCAGTTGGAGAACTCACAGACAACACCACACTAATTACTGTAAACCTCTCCCTGAAATGAAATTAAGCATCCCATTAAACTACTGAATCTAATCCTGGATGTCTCCACCTGGACCCCGACCATCTTCAGACACCTGTTAAGATTACATGTTGTGGAGGCTTGAATAAACTATTAACTGGAGAATATCTGGGCAGGACGCACAACAGCACTTGAGAACAGAGTGCTTGGTGTTTTATTGAATATTATGTTTACACAGGCAGATCACATCCAAAGTAATGCCTTGCAGCATAGTTTTCACATCTTCCCTGTTGATGCGTAGACCCCCTTACTGTACCGCTGCTTCTGTTAAGTGTGTGTGTGGCTATTCCCACCCTCTGTCGCACTGGGAGTGTAAAGAACCAGGAACCCCCGAGGCCTTGGCTCTGATAGCAGGAGGAAGAGGATTAGAAAGAAACGCTGAATGAATAAGGAGGAAGTAGTCAGTCAGTTAGGTAATCTAAACCTATTACAGTCGGTGAGAGTCTTATAAGGATTTAGCACCGGTGTGTGTGTGTGTGTGTGTGTGTGTGTGTGTGTGTGTGTGTGTGTGTGTGTGTGTGTGTGTGTGTGTGCGCGTGTGTGTGTGTGTGTGCGTGTGCGTGTTATCTATGGGAAAAGCCTGCTTGCTATGGGAGAAAATGTGGGGACATAAATCAGCTAATAAAGGGGTGAAACTCTTTTCCCATTGGAGGCACTAGCGATGTGCTGCCTCTCAGCTCAAGCTTTAAAGAATTGTATCTTTTTTGTGTATGTGTGTGTGTGTGTGTGTGTGTGTGTGTGTGTGTGTGTGTGTGTGTGTGTGTGTGTGTGTGTGTTTTATACTATGAGCTACTGACCTGTGATGTGGAACTATGGGGGATTATCAAGTGTCAGAGTGACATATCACTGTAAAACAGAGGAGTGGGAAAAAGCTGTCATGCTGAAATATGTCTCACATTTTTGCTTCAACACCCCGGAGACTCTTTGTGTGTATATATGGTATGTCTTCTCTGTGTGTGTGTGTGTGTGTGTGTGTGTGTGTGTGTGTGTGTGTGTGTGTGTGTGTGTGTGTGTGTGTGTGTGTGTGTGTGTGTGTGTGTGTGTGTGTGTCACATGATCCTTCACATTCCATATGATGTACAATCTAGCACAAAAACCCTCTGGTAGTATAGAATACTTCAATATGAGCGAATGCGGCCCAAAGAGACGTGAGCATGCATTTAGAGAATACTGATTCACAGGATGGGTTGATGGGAGAATTAAAATGCTGCCGGCTCTTTCTCCCTCTTCAGTTTGTGCTTCAAATACATATTTAACTTCAAAAAGGACTCATAATCATGTATTGCTCATTGAAACACACTCATCCTTTGAAACCAGCTGTGAAGAAAAGCTCGATATGATTATGCTTGTTAGAGGATCAGTGTTGAAAGTCAGATTAAATAGATTCCTTTGAGGGTGGCAAATATCTGAATTTCTCATCAATAAAGTGCTCTATCAACACGATGAAAAATGATCAACGTGACAAAAAACCCAAGTACAATAAACTCCTGAAGCATTACACTCAGATAGAATCCCTTCCCTTCGCACCAACTCCAGTGTCTGTGTGCTGGTTATCAGTGAGGCTTACATATGTACTAGCTGTGCAGTAAATATTGTTGGGCATTGAACTGTCTTGGTCCTCCATCTTTTAAAAAACACTATTTGCAATGTTGTTTAGATTTTGTATGTCTTGCCTTCCCTATATTCATTTTTGTAATGGCAAGACAATATGCTTGATATTAAAATCGCACAATATCATATCACACTAATTATAATAATTGATTTTCCAATTTTCATTTAAATATCACAATATGGAAAAATATGTACGGTGTATGCAAAATGAACATTTGACAATTAATTCAGAGCATAATGGATCATGTACTACTGATTCGGTCATTTACCTTTAATGATTTAGTTCAATGTCATTTACTTGGATAAGAGGTATTTTTGCAGTTTGATAACATTATTAGATAAATGTGAATACAGAATTTTAAATGGCCTTTTTTTCTGTTATTTATTTAGTCGGAAAGCATATTCCCTTTTTGTTTTGACATATTCATGCAAGCAATTTATAGAAAAAGATACATACCAGGCTCTATAATTCACTGACCCTACATTTATATTTATAGGCCTATAATAAATGTGAAACTGACCCAGCTGGCACGTCCTGCCGGTCCATCCCGGCGGGCAGAGGCACTTGTAGCCTCCAGGAGCCTCCTGACACGTGGCTCCACGGCCGCAGGGGCTCCGGTCACACTGCCTCACCGCTGGGAAGATAAAACATAGCACATTAATTACTGGTGTGTGTAATGGGAATGTGTGTTTGAATATCAAAGAGCATTTTGTGTGTCACTCAGTCTGTGTGAAGCCACCGTGTGGACATGTGTGATCTGTAGCATTGGTATGCAGATGCTATGGCAGCCCGTGTTTTCATTCTCTCCATTCCAGTGCTGCTCTGGTTTCTGTGCAAACAGTGATAAATACAATCATCTGCTGCACGTTCATGGCTGTCACCTCAAAGCTTTCCCAGAGAGGAGAGAGGTATGAGGGCATTTAAATAAAGGCAAGCATGATGGGAGAAAAAAAGCAGGGACGGGCTGAATTGGAAATAGGCTGATGGAACTGCAACGCTTGGTTCCACTTCTCTGACGAGGAATTAAATACAGATAAAGAAATATGAGGAAAAACAACACAGACAGAGAGGAGCTCATTTTATGGTGTTAATAACCATGCATGACTTCCTTTTACACATGGCATATTTGTGCAGTAGTGCCATCATAACTTTTCCCATGTGCTATACATCTCTCAGTCAAGAGCTCTCTGTCTCTCTCACAACCTTTCATCATTTACCTAACCCTGCAGAATAACCATTTTCCATCCTCATGACCCTAACTCGCAACCCGAGCAATAATACCCCAGCCAACTAAAGGAAGAATTCATTTAAAAAACAAAGAAGCCTTTAATTAATATTGCTTATATATATAAATCTAAGTCTGAAAGCAGAGCTGTGTTGTGGTTATGGTTTTCATTCCCTGCAAGCCTGACAATCCTCTCACTGTATATTCCCCAGAGAGACCCCCACAACACACACAGAGACAGAGATAGACGGCCTCTCTGACTGTTAATCAAGCCAACAACAAATAACAAGAGCAAAAATAAACCCTTCCTTTATTCCTCTGTTTGTCCCTCTCCTATTTTCTCCCTGTGTAATAAAAGTGTTTACATGCCAGCGCTGTGTATCCTGATCGAGGTGAAAGCAGAAGATGTGGAACGCTGCTTGTTTACACACACACACACAGCTCTGACAGACTGTAACCTGGATGATCCAATCTCACCTGTTGCAGCAATATACACACACGAAAAAAATCGAATACAACTCGGTCTGATTCGCTATTGAGGAGATGGAATCAGAAGATCTCACAAGGCTTGAAGCTCTACAATGTGAGACTTTAGGGATCAAGATACATACGTCGATCATACTGTGAAAAATTGTGATTTAATGTATTTCTTTACAACTATTCTAAATGAATGTGCATAAAAATGCTAGTTATTACGTGTTTAAACTTCTAAGTGCTTGTTCTTGTCAACTAAAAATGAAACTCCACTGTTTTAATTTAACTTTGTCACTTTACACGTCATCAAGCCTACTCAGAGTGTGATGGAAAATACTTTTTTTTGTCTTCTGTGGCTGTAAAAGCTCATCCTAAAGTCGGGTCAAGTGTCTGTTTCTGGTCAGTGTTGTTGCATGATGGTTGAAATTGGGACTTTTAGAAGGAAATGAACATCCATTACATTAAATCCTTGCCAATCGATTTCCAAAATGCTAATTAGCCTATCATCTTCAGGGAAAGCTCTCTGTTTTTCTACAGTATACGGGTACTGTGTCATCTTGTGTCTGTGGTTACTTTTCCAGTAGCACCACATCTCTCCCTGCCACCTTGAGTACTTTCCTCAAGTCTTTCTGCAGACATTTTATTTCTTATCCATCTGTACCATCCACAAAACTTAACTTTCACCATAGCTGCTGCTCTGTTTCAAAGTTCAAGTCCCATATGGTAATTGTTCTCACTGCCAGAGGAGATAAAAGTTCTGCACTCCAAGCTTCAGAAATCAGATTACTCCAGGAAACTGACAGTAAATAGAGCTTTTTGAGTACACATTGATCTAAGGATAAACACTACGGAATCTGTGTAAGTACATTTGCTGAAATACAGAATAAAATCTTAATTGCCATCTGAAACATCAGTGCTCAGAGTTCCTCATGTGGTACAGTATCGGTTAAACTCCACAACTTTCTTGGACCAGATTGCATGTCAAAGTGCCCTTGTGGTGTCTGAGGATTGCTTCATTTTTTACGAGCGGCTGGTGTAGCAGAGTCTTTGTAATGACCAAAGTTAGACAGTCTAACGCTGCATATTTGTAGGAGAAACATCAGGTGTCTGTACAGCAAACTAATGTCACGACAACTTATGAGGACAAACGCCAAAAACAACATGTCATTCCTGTTCTTAACACGAGTGTGTATTGTTTTAATGTTTAGTAGTGGTTTCAGTTTCCAAACAAATCTGATAACATTACATTCATTTGGCAGACACTTTGGTCCCAAAACAACTTTATATTTCTTTCCCATGCTCACACATCACGGGGGACAGGATGTTGCTGCACTGCTTCTCACATGAGGGATAAAAGTCTGTGCTTATACTTCACTGAAATCGATAGTTTTTAAACTTTTCTACTTTGTTCTTTTATTGGAGCCTACCTGTAAAGTTATCAGCATCTGCTTTGTATTGCAGATCTAAGTAGTACTTGTTACACTGATTCCCATTACATCAAAAGTAATTAAGGGTACAGTGTTTTACTCAACACATGTGGACAAAAGAACTTCATCAATCGACTGACCTAGAGTCACAGCTGTCTGATCCGGTACTTGTGCTGCACGCTGCTTACATTTCTTAACACTAATCCACCTATTATGATTCAAAGTCTGTATGCAGGACGCTGAACAAGACCGACAAAAGAAAACACTAGACAATAAACTCCTAATTCACTGGCATTAAAAAAAATACACACCCCTATTTACAATCAATAGAGTTGATTAAGGATGCTCCACACCCCACCTTGTATCTAGGACACACACACACACACACACACACACACACACACACACACACACACACACACACACACACACACACACACACACACACACACACACACACACACACACACACACACACACAGATTGCTGTCTGAGATCAGGCTAATTTACCGTAGCTTCCTCTGTTGGATTGATTAGAGTCACTCACTGGCTTTTATCCAGGCACAGACAATCTCTGCCCAGCGCAGAGTTGTTTGTGCCTGGGGAGTGTGTGTGTGTGTGAGTGTGTGTCAATCACCTTCAGCGCAGGTGTGTCCGGTCCAGTCGTCGGTACAGGTGCAGCTGAAGCCCGTGGGGTCCTCCACACAGGTGGCTCCGTTCACACACGGGGACGACAAACATGCATGCTCCACTGAGGAGAGGAGAACAATTGACAGATGAACATTTTATGACATTTTAAGGCCCTGCACAACCACACAGGGCCACTCTATTGGGTAAAAATAAAAGGTAGTGCGGGCTGCTTTGTAGCCAAGTTCAGACAAATTCTTCTTAATGTTTCTACTTCCTTCTTTCCTGACTGCAAAAACATAAATAAAATATGTCACATATATAGGCTTATACAAAAAAAAATGGTGGCATGCAATTATGTTATCGCAAACAATTCGATAGATGGTTATAAACATGAACCATGTTCAGTTAATTATATATTTGTTGCGTGAGTTTCATCTGTATTGTTCATTTAACAGATTTGACCTTACATTTTGGTCAACGCCATCAAATGTTATGCTTTTTGAATCCAAGCATTTCTGTCATTTATGCAGATAAATAACCTGGATTTTATTTCACATGTTGGTGCCGTGCCTGTATGGTGAGGCTACACTTACCAATGTCACAGTTGCGTCCTCTGAAACCTTCCTGGCATTCACAGTGGTATTCATTTGGCTCTGTGTTGGTGCATGTCCCACCGTTCTTACACGGCTGGTGGGTGCCACAGTAGTTCAGATCTGAAACAAGAAAAAAGTATGATTGAGGTTTGCTATAAAGGGAACAAAATATATAGGAATCAGGATGTGAATGGAGCCAGGATAACTTCGGTTTGACTTTGTCTCAGGTATAACACACACACACACACACACACACACACACACACACACACACACACACACACACACACACACACACACACACACACACACACACACACACACACACACACAGTGTACCCAGGTCGGCTCAGTGTGCTGACTGTGCTGGACAGAAACTGCAGGGCCTGTTGTCTCCAGTGTTGAGGCTGATTAAAGCTTTCTCTAATAATCTTCTCCGTGTCCATAGTCTCTTTGTCTCACCACAGCTCTTTAGAGGGCCTTTCTGAATACACAGAAACAGCTTAGGACCCCACCTAGATAAGAGCCCCGCTCACATTCACCTTACCCAAGGCTATCACCTTTCCTCTGCACAATGCACCGTCCCGTGGGCTCCCGGATCCCAGCTCCCACACTGAGACAGAGGTGGGCTGTTGTACTCTGGGATAATGTTGTAGGAACTTTGCAACAGTGTGGTGGGAAAAGTTAAAGAATGGAAAGAGAAGCCGTGTAGGAGGAGCTGTGTCTTATCTCATGCAGAGGAGCAGTTGGCAGTGCATGGGAAGGTGTGTGAAGAACCACACCTGACAACAATAAAGGGCAAACCTCTTTCATCTTTACACAGATTCTTGCAATTACATTATGAAATCAAAAATGTTAAAATACATATGCTGTTATCCAAGAGAGTAAAGAGGAAAACATATATTTTACAAGCTAAGACACACATATCTTTCACAAATATAACTGCGTTAAGTTTCTAACACCTTTTATGCTGATCATAGAAACAGTTATTGTTTAGATTACAGTAGAAAAACTCCATGTAAGTCAACATCCAATACATTCAACTAAAACTGCTAAACAACTTCACAAAATGCTTCTTAATCCTATCAGCTTCAGGGGAAGCTCCCTGTATTTTTGCATTATCATGTCATCTTGTTTCTACAGTTAATTTTCAACGAATAACTGTATTCCCATGTTGGTACATTTTAAACATGTCTGACCTTTGTCACACAGCAGTCCTCCCCAGTTGACATCACACACACACTGCCAGGGTTCGCTGCAGCTTCCGTACACACAGCCGGGGAACGTCACACACTGATCACACAGAGGGCCCTTCCAGCCATAATGACACCTGCAGGGGGAAAGCAAAGGGACGGTTATTTGTATTGCGTTCATGGGATTTGATAGTTACTCTTCTGAACCATTTCCATCAGACACTGTGTGTGCCTAACTGATAACTGTTGTCTGTTCATAATAGAGATATTTTTCATTCAATATTATGCACCTTGTTTTCTTTAAATGGCTGCTTGTACTAGTTGCACTAATACATCTTGTTATGGGTAGGTTACATCAGAAATAAACTGTTAAAATTGTGTATAGGCTACCTACAAAAGATTAATCATGTCATAGATGCAGCTTTAAACTTGAGTATTTCTCAGTGCAGGTTAAGGTTCAAGAACAAGCAAAAATGAATGGCTATTGGTATGAATAACACAAGGAAGACTGTTTAGAAAAAGTTTAGGAAGTTAAAGTAGGCTTTATATAACTGTCTTTTGTTCAAAATATAACACTGTACTGTATATACTGGAATAAACGGCTACATTTAGTTTTCACTCTGTAGTAAATGAATCTACCTCCCAACATATCACATCAATGAAAGTATACATCGTTGCATTGACTTTGAAATGATATCATTTGGCTCTGGTGTCTTTGTAAAGGTCCATAGTGCAAGTTACAACTCAAGCGTTTTTTGGACTTACTTGCATTCTCCAGGTGCCGTACACGAGCCATGGGTCTGATGACACCCCTGACTGCATACAGCTGTGAACAAAACATGCGCGCAAACAAAAAGAAAGCTATTAAAGACAAGAAAACACAATGGAACAGAAGTCAAATTCAGATAGGTGTAAGTATTAAAACCTGAAATCTACACTGTAATACATATCACTACCAGTTAACAAAAAAACACCCCAGCTATCAACAGACACCTACTTAGCCGAGCAGCATGAGATGAGAAAGTATGTAAAGTAGATGGGGCGTGTTTGGTCACCTTGCTGAAATCTCGATATAACCTCTTTATGTGATTTTTAAAAGTTGAGCTAGTTAAAGTCTCCAGCTGGAGAAAGTCCCTGAACTTCATCATGGTCAGTAACTGCAGGGGGTAACAGACAGACCCCGACTGCAGTTTCCAGGCTTCCTGCCTCACTGCAGTCCAATCAGGGACCTGCTGAGTGGGAAGTCACTCTAAGTGAGACACGGGCGGGGTGGACAAGGCTGCAGGATGTCAGTAAACTAGCCCTGTGTCCTTCAGGGTTCCTATGGTTTCCACATGGTTTCCTCTATTCAGTTTGTAACATCGCTACATGATGGCAGCGCTCCGAGGTCACGTAGCGAGGTCAACAAGCTGATGAGTCACAGACAGACGGAGAATAATCCACACACACAAACACACACACACACACAGTTCACTGAAGCTAACTGACACATATTGACTGAAGTACAGCTGCGTGTCCGTGTAAAGAGTCCTAAAGGCTGTCATTAATATTAGATTTGTGAACTTATGTGTGCCTTTTCTTCTTTCTTTGTAAGATTCGTTTGGGTTTTTTTGGTTCCAAAAGTGTTTTGGAAAGTGAGACCATTTGAAGCTCATTCTCACTTGTTCATGGGTCTACTTCAAAAAAGAAAACGAGGATACCCTAATGAAAAAAAGCTCTTAAGAAACACTGGAAAGGAGAGGAAACTCCCTTCCATCCCTGGGAAAATAAACGAAGAGCGAAAACATTTTCTATTTTTTCTCACCAGTGACCTCAAGTCATCCTGAGGAAAATATTTGCTGAATAGTTTTTTTTTTAGTAACAGACATTTCTTGAAATGTTCTCAGTGTATGTGCTATTTTGGAGTAAATCAGAGTTAGCTGGCGAAAAATCCAGGCAGACATTGTTTTCAGTTGACTTCAAAGAAAGACATAACATCTGTATAATAAATGTGAAACTACTGCCAGCTGGAAGTTAGCTTAGCTTAGCAGAGAGAGTGGAAACAGGAGGAAACAGCAAGCCTGGCTCTGTCCAAATGTAATAAATGTATCTTCCAGCACCAGCTCACTGATTAACATGTTAAATCTTGTTTTTCAATCACAACACAAGCTAAAAAACATCTATTTGTGCTCTCTCATGTAGCTATGGACTCTCTCACCTTCTTTGCACTCTGGTCCTGTCCAGCCCTCCATGCAGACCTTGTTGCCGCTGGGGTCACAGTTGAAGTGTCCAAAGAAGTCATCGCGGGACCTGCAGAACTTGTTGCAGAAGGGTCCGTAATAGTTTGAATCACAGCGGAAGCGAAGCCGGTAATCTAGAGTGAGAGGCTGTCCGTGGTGACGGTACGTCTGCCACTGTTCACTGGGGTTCAACATGGAGGACAGCAGGACTCGCTCAATCAACTGACCTGAGGGAGGAGAAATAAAGTCAAATACTTTTCAGATTAACACACATGATCCACCATTATTTGATATTTAAAAAAAATACCATTCCTGAACCTGCCGAATAATATTTGTATACACAACACTGACTGACATATTATCACTTGGAGTCGAGTTTCTGGCCACTGGCAAATGCAAGCGCAGTATTCACTTTCCTTTAAACTCTGTTTGGTCAACAACTCCTGAGCGAAATACCTGGCTCTTAAATTGCTAAAAGACACAATGAGAGCGCCAGTTGTGCTAATCTCTAACTGTGTGTCTGCTGTTTGGTGCAAAGTAAAAAGTCTGCAGAGAGAATTAAGAGCTTTTGTAGTTTTATAGTAGTTACATCATGTCTGTATGAGAAGGTAATAGGAACACATGACCATCAGATGTCTGTGTTTTGAGTTGGTTTTCTTCACCTTGCAAGCATACATTTAAGACTAGCATTTTGTATATTAAAATAAATGTGGTTTCAGTCATTTTGCTGAGGAGAGGTCAAAGAAAAAAATAATAGGCAATTTAAAATGTATGTGTGTTATTGTCTACTATGTGAGCCCAGAATTGATTAGGTACCCCCGTCAACATTAGAGCACTTGACAAGATCCCCAGAATAAAGGGAGAACTGAAAAACAGTATGAAAAGCGATGCAGACTAGGGGCAGACTATATGACCAGAGAAAAGGGTCAGGAGTCATCAGGGAAGAGGGCTGTCTGAACACCAGAGAGGACCAGACGACCCCCGGAGGGGATTTCCCAGAGGCGCTGTCATCCCAAACTAAGTTATTATCTCCTCTGACAGGGTATTAACACACACAAAGCACCCAGAATGTGTGTGCAGTGCGTAGATCTGTGTGTCTCAATGTATTCATGTGTGTATTTAAGATATGGTGGTGAGATAAAGGGAAAGATTGTTAGATAGTAATGCAGAAAAAATAAGCCTTGTTGGAAGTGAGGTAGTGGTCTCTCTCACATATTGGTCGACTTGTGTCAGTGTGTGTGTGTGTGTGTGTGTGTGTGTGTGTGTGTGTGTGTGTGTGTGTGTGTGTGTGTGTGTGTGTGTGTGTGTGTGTGTGTGTGTGTGTGTGTGTGTGTGTGTGTGTGTGTGTG